TTCAGAGCCTGTTTATTGGCAGATTAAATCACTGTTCATAGATGCTCATGGTCTCAGACTAGAGAGGGTATATGATTTCCCTGCCCCACTGATGTGGATGGAAATGAAGCTGAGGCTGCAGGGACTTTCTTCCTGCTCATGTTTTGCCCTCCTGTAATCCACCATGAGGAGGACACCCAGGCAGCTACTAGTCCAAGGACATTGTACAGACAAGTAGAGCAGGCTCAGCGGCCATGGCTCACGGGCCCAGCTGCGCCGCGGCATGTGGGATCTTCCCGGGCCGGGGCACGAACCCGTGTTCCCCGCATCGGCAGGCGGACTCTCAACCACTGCACCACCAGGGAAGCCCAGTACCATGAATCTTGAAGGAACTACTTGACCATGAAATCCAGCCAATTAAGAACCACATCAAAGTAAAAACTTCGGGAATGGAAGTGCAAAAGGCTGGGGTATAAAAGGCCTAGTGGTAAGCACCATGTCCTTTAAAGACAGCATGGGTATTAAACTGAGGGTTATGGTTAAAGACAAACTGTGAATATCGTAAACCCAGACGCTGTAAAGATACAACACAACCCCAGGCAGGAGGTGGTGAGGGGGCGTAATGGGAACGACTGTGAGTATTCTAATCTACTCAGCTTTCAGCCCCGAATCAAATTCTGCCCAAAAGTTTAACAATTCCTCCTGTTTTAGTCTAGCTTCTTTCATCAGCTGAATTTAAGTAAAATTAACCTGAGATTTTTCTAAAACTCAAAAAATACCGGATCTAGAGTATTAAGCCATTCTGTACGTCTCTCTGGCTTTCCTTCTCTTTTCTCCTTATATGTAGTCGGATATCTGAAATGATGTTCATCTTAATGCCAAGATGGCTATTTCTGGGTGATGAAATCTGTGGTGACTTTAAATATTTTTACCTTTCTGGCTCCCTGCATTTTGAATTATTTACGAGCATATGCCATTATCCATTTTTTACAAAAATAGAGTAGATTTTCTTTAAAAATATGCCCTGATTAGTTAATGACCAATGTTGATTCTGGGTGGTAGGAATATAGACACAGGTTTTCCCCTGTACCGTTTTGTGCAGGTGAGGGGTAAGAGGAGATGGCGCTGGACGCTGGGCACAGACCACTGCTGGGGATCTACGTGGCCTCACAACCTCTTCCCCTCGCCCCTCTGAGAGGTGGTGACCGTCTCCCCTCCCCCTGGTTCGGGGCTGGCCCTGGGAGCTGGCTTGACCGACAGAATGCGGTGGGAGTGCCACTGTGAGCCTCCTACGGTAGCCGTAAGGGAGGCGCAGGTCTGCCCTCACCGACTTGAACCCCACTATTAGACAGCAGCTTCCACGTACAACCCCCTATGCTACCCATTGAGCAGAAGACCCGCCCAGTCCAACCCTGCCCACATCTCTGATCCAAAGAATCGTGGGCACATAACAGAGCTGTGGCTTTAAACTACCCAGTTTTGGGGTGATTTGTTCTACAGCAGAGAGAGCTCTTCTTAGAAGCTTGACTCTGCAGGTGAGGAGTGGGCTAAAGCAGTAAGTAAGTGATGAAGACCCTTTGCTCTCGAGGTCGGGTGCACCGCGGCACGAAAGAGGCGCTCGCGGGACCGGGCTGCTTCTGCTCTAACTCCTTCTGCGCCCCAGGAATTCCATTCTGTGAGAGGCCTCGCTTCTGAGCCACAAGGCTCGTGCCTGCTGTGAGTCTCGGCTGCGTGATTCCCTTATGACCACTGGGTTCCTCTGGGCTAACGAAGGCTCTTCCTTTTCTACCACTTTTTATTGTCTCTTATTGTAAAACTGTTGTTATAACTTGAAGTATAGAGCTAAGATAATAAGAAGAAAATTACCACAAATTCCACCACTCAGAGATATAACCACGAGTAAAATTCCGATGTGTAATTCCAGTCTTTTTTTCTCTTTATATGTACTTTTTTTGGGCAAAGATGGCCTCGTATGTACCTACTGTCTTGTAAACTGCACTTTCATTGACAACTGTCTTGCGAACATCTTCAAGACCCCTAAATATCCTTCTCCAACATCGCTTTCAATATAGCTTAGTTTTCAGCCGATGTGCTACGGTGGAAAAGAAAGTATAGCAAGGAGACCAAAAATGCCGGTGCTGTGAATGCCGTTCACATGACGGGAGATCAATGAACAGTTATGAGATAAATGAGTGAGTGCTAGAATGAGCATCTTTTTGGCTAGCTAAAGCTCAGTGCAAGTTTTTAATTGCCATGTAGGGCAAATTCTGGAAATGGGTCAAAGCCTAGGCACGTCTCTCGGGCCATGTAATAACGGTAGGTATTGCCAAATTATTCTCCGGAGATGTTTTATCGTGTTACACTACCCCAGACCGGTGGCCCTTTAATTGGGTTTCAGCGGCCTCCACTCGATACCTCCGTTTTCTCTGAAGACTGACTTTAATGAAAGGGCTCCTTACCCACAGGAACACTCTGAGGCCCTCGCCGAGTGAGCGCTGGGCCTTCTGTGCACTCTGTCCTCCACCCAGGAAGTGGGGTGAGGCACACTTCATGATGAGCACGCACACTGTTCTTATAGCGAATATTTAAACACAGTAAGACCTGATACTGCAAAGTATCAGGTCCATACGAGCTTACTTGAATGTACATGCAGGCAAATGTACTTGGTCTCAGAAAACCAAATACAAGCCTCGGGGTGACTCTGTCTCTCTCTGAGTATCTCTATCCCTCCATGTATCTGCGTGTACAAAACACTCACACACAATTAGAATGTCCAGATCAAACAGCTGTTGCAAAAGTGCTGTCATCATTCAGGCAGACAGGGAATCAGAGTGACGACACCCTGACTTGGTTACGCACTTGGTCACCGATTCACTTTCACAGACAATGTAGATGCAGGGGTCTGGTGTAACGGTTAATAGCTGAGGCTGTCAGGTCAGAAGACCGTGACTTGAACCTGGCTCTGACAGTTATCTGGCCATCTGACCTCTGGCTGGTTACTTCACCCCAGAGCCTCAGTTTTCCCATCTGTAAGATGGGGATGATAGAAACTCTCTTCCTCGTAAAAATTACTCATAAAGCTTAAATGAGACAATGGAACGTGAGGTGAATGACAATGTTTGGTAGAGAGCCTGGGACATACTACTTGTTGAAGAAATATCAGCTATTATTTCTATTATTTTTTGTGACACAGCCTAAAAAAAATCGTGCAAGGCAACAAGTGCTAATACATTAACTATCTGATATAGGCTAGTAAAAGAAAAAGTCATTCACTTAATCCATAATCTACGTGAGTGAATCAAAACTCAACTATATCTTATCTACATTGTGATTTTAATTATTTTCACGTACCTATGTTTTGGTCATTATATGTCATAAATATAATATAAATATATATATGTACATATATATATATATATATATATATATATATATATACTGCCATCTTTTTACTTCAACTTCAGTCTTTATGATTAGTCTGTTGGAAATTAGGGTCAGAATGTTTTTCCCTTTTAACAGGTGAATGGATTAAAACTACAGAAAAATTAATTAAAAATAGGCAGTTATACTAATTACATTTCTTTCAAGATGTTTTAATCTTTGAGAAACAGTACTGGAAACTCTGTTGTTATGAAGTAAATGAATGTTCCCCTTTTGCATATATTGGGATTCAATTACTTATTTAAAATGTGGAAATTACCTACCACTCGGTATCTGGGTATCAAGTGGAAAAGAAACTCACGTAAAATGAAATTTTTATATAGCAAAAGAATTTAAATAAAGTTGCAACTCAGTTCATGCAAAGCAAAACAGTTCTACAGATCAATGAGTACTTCCTCTGCATCTATAAATGAAGAGTTTCAAAGATTTGTAAAAATTACCAGAATTTGAAAAAGAAACATCTTTTTTTGTCTCATCACACGTAGGGGGAGAAAACGCTCACAGATGGAAAAAAACAGGAAAAATCTCATTAACGACAAAACAAGTCATCGCCTCTCAAGTGAGGAGGCTGGATATACTCGCCTCTAAGGTTTGGTCCATGTCTTAAGGTTTCTCTTGTATTCAGTGCTGTCCAGGCTCAAAGGGTATATACAACAAAGCAACTGACATTAACACTGACTTCTCCCTAAATTACTCAGATTGCCTACAATAGGCTAGAGAAAAGAAAGATGGAGGGATGAGGCAGAAAAAGGCAGTGACCCAAATGTCTCTTTTATTTTTCTGTGCTTTGTATGATCACATACTCCAAGCATTGTTATAACAAAGCAAAATCACTGAAAAATAATCTTTTGCTGGGAATTCTTTAAAAAGTGTTTTGTTCTCTTTTAAATCTTATTTATAAAGGTTTCCAGATGCTTATCCTCACAGATTAAACACAGCATGATGTAGACACTTACAAAAATATTCACTGCTATGAAGCCAAGAAGAAACTACTTTGAGATCTAACTGCCTGTCACCTAAAGAATCGGGGTCCAGGGGATTTTCTGTTGCTATTAAAGGTGTGATCCTCTGAAGCCATTTGGAAACAACCTAGGTTCTCAGCAGCAACGCAGTACGGTGTCCAAGCACATCACATGGTTGGCATTCCAAACCTCCAACAGGTTCTTTCTCATTATGCGAATCCATAATGAAAGGATGTGGGCAGAGAACAGAATGTAAACTGGAAGCTGACTTCTGAATTCATTAGCCAGCAGTCCTTGGCTAACACAGTCATTCTAATTTCAAGAGACAGCTCCAAAGTGGTTCTCAAGAGAAAGGACAGGGTATTTTTCAAATATTTGTTCAATGTGAATGGACTGGGCTCGCCCAAAATGACTTTTTCCGCCGGCATGTGATCTTTTAGAGGGAAGGCAGCCTGAGTCACTGGCTACATCAAAGTTAGAGTCCAGTGAATGGATTACTGCAGGCTGTGTGAGCAAGCCAGATACCTGCATTCATCCGCCCACTGCTGGGGTTTCAGCCCTCCTTTTAATTACATTAAAGCAGCTGGTACCACTGGGTTACTGGGGTCTCCAGATTACCTTGATTGCTCGGTCATTATCTCTAATCAGCTGCTTCTTCTCATCTTCAAACTTCTGTACAACGTCCTGGAGCTGCCTTTCTGCAGCGAGCCGCTGCTGGCTGCTCTCCTCTTTCAGAGAGGAGATGGTCGTCTGAAGCTCTGCTATGATCTAAAATGAAAACAGCATGCTGTAGCTTCAAATTCTTCAGTGAGAGGCCTCTATTTTATATGTATTTATGCTTCACGAAAGAATGGATTTGGCAAAACTCTAGTCCACAAACTAAATATTTTCAATTAATGTATCACACACACTAACGCATGAAATTCCACACAATAAAAGACTATAATAAAACTGTGAATGGTGAACAACTGCTGAACCAAATATACTTGGAAGCCGTTCCCACTATAACATTCCACAATGTTTACTCATCAGAGGAAAGGACATCTGTGATCTCAAAACTATGAAATGTGTCAGGATTCATTTTACTGAGAAACATACTTGTTAGAGTGAAAAAAAACCATTTTGCCTTTCATAATACTTTGAACTCTAATAACCAAAGAAAATCATGAACAGAGTTCATGGTTCATAGTTACCTAACTCTACACAATGATTTTTGAGGGTTTACTAACGCTTGTGCACTGTGCTAAGCACTTCGGTTCCTGTGTCAGTTACTACTGGGCGACAAGCAGTGTCACTGCCCATCTTTTATAAATGGAGAGACAGAGGCAGTGCAAGAGGTCAACCCGTGACCTTGCTGAAGACGCCATGCGACCAGGAGACAGGCAGGATGTGAACCCTGCAGACAGGTCGAATGCTGTACTAGTCGGTTCCTCTTAACCAGCTACTACTTTGTCTTCCTTTTAAACAAGTTTATTATGATACAGTTCCAAATAGGTTGCTTTCTTCCTAACTGATGTATATCCATGGAAGTTTATTTTTGGTTCAAATGAGTCATTTCAGAGGCTCCCGCAGTACTCTCTACATTTGAGAATCGGGTCTCTCCATGACTGGGTTCCCTCCATGGTCTCAAAGTAAATCGGATGAGGGACCTTTTCTTTAACAGGTTTACTGAGAGCACTGCTCTTCCTTTGGTTTGGATGTATCCATTTCCTTTCAAATTCAATAGTGATGGACCTTTCAGAAGCAGGAAATGGTTGTTTCTTCTAATAAAAGCAGCAACCTTGGTCCTGGGTTAGAACTTTATGCTGTTGGGTCTATAGGAGAAGGGCTGACTGGTGAGAAACACTGAACCAGTTAGTACTAGATTTTCCTTGAAGCTCAGTTTTTCAACTATTATTTGATGACAAAACTAGATTACAGTATCATAAGGCAGTAACCAGAAAGGGTCTGGAGTCTTCCAGATGCCAAGTGCTATAGAAGCATTAGTTGTTACTACTGACATAAGTAGCATATTTACCCAAAAAAGGAACATTTAAGCTTTGAGAAGCGAGCAAACTCACTGTAACAAAGGTGAACACTTAGAATTTGTAAATAATCAAATATAAAACAAGTGTGAAATAAATGGCAAAATATATTAATATTTTTAAATGCAAATCTGAACCTTCTGCAATGAGAAGAGGGATTCATTTACTGAGAATGAAGATGTTTTCATCTGTTTTCTGAATTTTGATTGAGTGTTTCCATTCTGGCTGCAATTCAGTTAATTCTCACAGCACTTCTATGAAACAGGGAAGGTTAAATTCTTAGAGTAAATGTCAAAAACTGAGGCGCAGAATAATCAGCTCACTCACAGTTACAGAGCAAGGGGAGCTGGAGATAAGAAACAGCCAGATTTCCCTGGCCCAGCATGAAACTTAAGAGTGATATTTTATAAGAACATGGGGCCAAATAGTAAAAATAACTATTGCAATGACTAGTGCAGTGGTTCAAGTTGAGTAAACTGAAACGTGGTAGAAGTGGTGAGTTTAATTCTGTGATGCGTTCAGTGTGTGTGTGTGCGCGCACACGTGTGTGTTTAGTTCTGTCATGCAATTTTATCACGTGTAGATTCGTAGACCACCACCACGATTACACAGCGCATGTTTATGGTACAAAGTAATTTTGTGTCTTTAAAAATTAGTAAGATGTAGATTCGCTTCTAACTGACCAAGACTGAAGGTAAAAAATACTTGGGGGCTCTTCAAATGACCACCAGGACATAAGACACGGATCTCTTCTTTTCAGAAGACTTATGACAGCGTACGTCAAAAATAAATAAATGCAGGTTTTGGAAGGAATGACGGGTGAAGACCAGGATGCTCTGAGGAGAACACACTCGCTTTTGTGTAGAAAATGAAGCCTTCACACTCTTTGCGGGAATAATGGAATTCCTTTGGGGAAATAATGAGCTTATCCTTGGCAAGTTATATTTTAAAACTTATGAAGATGATATAGGGAGAGCGTCAAAACACTTCGGGTGAAATACCTCATACAGATAAATGAATCGATAGACTGACAGACACGCTGGATTTAGAGAGGCGGCTGAAATATGGGTAACATTGGAAGCAGATTTGCGGTTTACATGAAGATTGAGAAATAATCACGCTAACTAGATGAATTAGGTCTTGGCTGTAGACCTAGAGTATAAGACAACAGACTATTCTCTCCTTAGCTCAGGGCACACAACTGGCACGCGATAGATATTTAAGTATTGGAACTATAATCATAGTAAATAAGAAAAAATAATTCCCTGGCAAATTATATTGAGATAATTTAGTCTTTTCATAGAGTAATAATGTAAAACGTTTCTGAGAAAAAGAAAAACTGACCTGTGCAATCATAATCAAACGCCACAGGGTTTGACTGAATCATATTAAAAATCGTAAGACAAAATGCTACCACTCAACTAAATGTCTATCCTGTATTAGCTTCAGAGAAAGAAGTGGATAAGAACATTTCCATATGGATATTCAAAATTAAGATTTGGGGAAGCAAAAGGAAAGTTATTTGGGGCTAATACTGTAAGCAACCTAACCAATGAAAGCTGTAATATTTCATCATATTGTTAAGCAATTTCTACTTTGCATAAGTGTCAGTGGGCTTATTAGGTCTTAAAAATAACAGGATTCTAAATAGAGGTTAAGATTTCATTTTTAACTCTCTTGTTTTTTAGATCATAGTAGAGTTTGAGATTTTCATAAAACTCTTCTTTAAAATACACTGGACAAGGCATACATGGCAAGGTTTGGCAAACATTGAAGATCCCTAGAAAATAAGTGGAAGAGGGGCACCCGTGCCTTCCGGGTGGCCACCCTGAAGAGTGGCAGGGAGGGGGGCATATGGGCACGGGGCATGAGCCCAGGCTCTAATCTGCGCCAGTGGGAGCTTGGGGGCCACGTGGGGGGACATCGGTCCCTCGGCGATGGGCAGGCTCTGCTAGCATTTCTCCGCAGCTACCTACATTCCTGCAAAAACGGCAATAGTTTTCTTTGAAAAATGGCCTCTAGGTAAGTCAGATGAGTGGGGAAAACCACATGAAAGATGAAAAGGCAAGGTTAATATGTAATATTAAGATAAAAAAGAACAAATACGCGATTCTGATGGAAGTTATATTGGGGAGTGTGCTCAGAGATGGCGCTACCGTTGCCATCAGGGTGAACACCGCGCGACCCAGGAGGGGCGCCGTCCTGGGCCTGTGAGCGTTCAGAGTGCATGGTCTACTAGGTCCTAGGGCTTGATAAAATCTTAAAGGTTAAGTGACTTCCTTTAAGGGAGTAAAATACTTAAAATATTTTCCAAATTTAACCTGATGCTTCCCTAGGTACCAGTGTATTCATTACTAATGCGTGCATCTTATTACTTTTTTTTTTTTTTTGAGAGAGAGGGATTTAGAAAAATCTGATAAGCGGTTAAGCAGCTTTGCTTCGGGCACTCTCCTCAGCGAGACATGAGTTAGAGGTTCCAGCAGACCATCGCTGGAAGACGGCAGACGTCCATCCGCAGTTCTGCTGTATAAGGTTTATTTTCAAATAATCTGTTTCTCTGAACTGACTTTATTATAGACAAGTGTTTCTCAAATGCCAGTTCACAGATATAAACATATACATATATTTATATGCATATAAATATTTATATTATTTAGAGGTGGGCAAACAAAATGTTTGTAATGTAAGGTCATCCTACCTCTTATGAGAAGGTGGACTATCGTGTATCGTGTTATTCTATCTTTTCTAGGATTTTTCTTTTTAGGTGTTGCACTGCCCTTTCATTTATGAAGGGTGGCCACAGCACAGGACACCAGCTGATGTCTGCTCCTACCTCCTTCATGTCCGTACACGGGGAAATATCCAGCAACCCTTTGCCTCTCCAAATTCTGGAGGGAGATTTTATCAGTTCTTGAACGCCCAGAAATAAATTTCAAACACATCATTTCTTGCTCCTTCCATACATTTTTCATTCTTTGCTCCCCCTTTCCTTTCTCCACTGAGATTTCACAGGCCCTTATAAGAACTAATGGCTGTTAAATGCTTTACCGTGTCCTAGGCCCTGTACCAAGCACTTTTCTGGCATTGTGTTGAGGTAAGTATACTACTCCCCCATTTTACACATGAGGAAACTGGATTCCAGAGAGAGCAGGTCACTCGCTCAAGGTCACGTAAGTGGTGGGGCTGGTATTCGGACTCAGGTCTGTGGACTCCAAAGCTTAGGCTTTCTTCCCCCCAACTTACATTTAATTTGCTTTAATATGGACTAATCAGGCTTCTTCACACCTTCCTTTAGGTAAAACTCAAATACTCTCAGTGTTTAAGCATTTCTATCAGCTGTTTTGTACCTCACTTTTGGTCTACCTCCGCCATTTAACATAAAGCAAAGTGAGCAGGATGTAAGGGTATGCCAGCTGGGTTTTTTCACGTTTTAGTTTCGCTTTTGGAGTAATAAGATTTCTTTTGATTATAAGAATCTTTCTCAGTGGATTAAAGAGGATATTTCCCCATGTTATTGCCTGGAATAATGGCCCTTGAGACATCACCGTCACCTTTTAGATAAACACGTTCGTCTTCACTTAGACAAAGACTTTTTGCTTTCCTAATGGGATGTGAATTATATAACATATGCACATTTTAGAAATAACTGTAGAACCTAAGCAATTTCATAATTATCGGCAGAGTTCTGCCATATTAAAAACGTGAGGGGTTGGGCCAGACTTGGTGGTGTCAGGTTAAGACCTTCCGTTCCAATGTCAAAGACAGGTTGGGTCCTGGCTTAGTCACTTGCTAACCTGCGTGACCTCACCTCTCTGAGTCTCAGTTTTCTCAAATGGAAAAATGGGGCCAGTAATAGTTTCTAATCCCAGAGTTCCTGTGAATGAAACTGAATGAACCAATATGATTAGTGCCCCATAAACTTCTTAATTTCATTATCGTTTTGTTGTAGCCTTGCTAGTACCACCACTGTGTACGTACATTTCAGCTGACGGCCACATCTCACTATACATGGCAAAAATACTAAGAAAAACTGATTTTAAAAATCATCAGATATGATGTCCACAAAGTGAAATGGCTTCATCTATCCATCTGTAAGATGAAAATTAGCATTTTATTTATTCCACAATGACTCATACGACTAAGGAATGTTTGGAATTCCCTAGATGACGCCAGAGGACATCATTATAACAGCTTGTGCAGAAGGACTCCAAGCATCGTAAGTCAAGTAGAGACAAGTGTTCAGTATTTGGCCTTCTACTACAACTACTATAGTAACAACATCCAGCAAGATGTCAATGTTGGCCCTTGTAATTCTTCTTTTTCCCAAAAGGAGTCAACAGTTGAGCTGCTAATTTAACCCACTATATTTGCCATTTTGAATCTTGTTGTTAACCAGTCTTTAGGTGCAGCAAAATGGAATACTGCAAAAAAAGCACAGATGTATCAAACCGCTTACATCACAAAGGTAGGTGTGTCTCTCCAGCCCTTGTGAAATACGTTTCAGCCTGGACTTGTTCAAGTACACAGGCTGGTTTTACAATATCTGAGTGTGTGTGTGTGTCGGTTCAAATGGTTCAGTATGCTGATTTTAGAAAGTTGAGACTGAAATATTAACAGCATCTGCATACTCATCGTAAATATGACACTAACCCATAAAAAACGGAAAAGAATCACATTTAGCTCTAAAGTACAAGTGCTTTTAAGGTAGGTTTCTTTCTTGTTTGTTTTGGTTTTGCTCTTTTTTTCTTTAAAGCTCTTACCTGTGAGGATTTGGCAAGCTTCTGAGTGTATTCTTTTTCGGTCTGCTTCAGCCTGCTGTTGGCCTGAAAAACACATGCAATGAACACACACACAGTGACCTGTGAGGTTGGTATCTCTCGCACACGCCTATCACCAGGCAGCTGGGATGGCTGCCAGCTGCACCGCCCTTCTGGGGCAGCCAGAAAACCACAGGGCTTGCCTTTGATCTAACGCCAACTATTCATCACTTAAAAAGCAAAAAGCAAAAGAGGAAAAAAAAAAGATCTCTCCTGCCAATTATTAGACAAACACAGACTTCTGTGGAAAGAGAAAGGGAGAAGGAGAGACAGAAATAGACCCAGCAAACGTGTGTGAAGTCAGGGAAGAGAGGAAACACAGGAGAAGGAAGAGGAAACGAGGGGAGAGGGAATCGGAGGTGGGGGAGGGAAGACGGTAAATTTAACACTCTTTCCCTTAGTTTAAAGAGAAAAGAACTAGACCCTCCTGGTGGAGGCTGATAGGAGATTTTAGACTCACTGAGCCAAGGTCTGAGCCCTACTCTGCTGACACACAAGAGCTCTTTTTTTGAACTGACAGATACATCTAAATCAAACAATTTCTATGGCCTGGAAGTAGGGAGGCCTTCCCAGAAGAAGTCCACGTTACTTAGAACTCCACGATCTCCTTTGCCACCCGAGTTCCCATCCTTTGTGTGTGACCTGCTTTCCGTCTCCCTGGAAGCCTCAGGACCTGCACTTTATCCTCCGTGTTCGGAAATGTCGCGGTGACTTGCCCTAGCCGGGCCTTTTTTCTCATCCATTGTGCAGGCACTAAACAGGCCCTTTCAATCTGCGCTCGTGTCCTGCATTTCTAGAAAAGGCTTTGGTCATTTCTCTCTTAATTTCCTCTCTTTTTCCCCTGGTCTTTCTCTCTCGTCTCTCTGTCTGCCTGTCTCTGCAGCTCTGAATACTGGACCTCACAGGTTTAGCATCTTTTTCTTGTTGTTTCTATCTTCCATTACTTTGTCTTTTTGATCTTTTGTAGCAATTCTCGACTTTAAATGTTAAACTTTGTATTGGATTTTAAAGACTCCGGCTGTCCTGTTTGTAATTTCCAAGAGTTTCATTGTTGCTCTCTGAACACGCCATCACTCCCCATTTTTAACAGACGAGGAAGCTGTGCCACAGAGAGGTTAGGAGAGCTGCTCAGTGGCGCATCTAGGAAGCGATGGAGCCAGGACCCGACCCCACGTGGCAGAGCACAAGCGCTTCACCGGCTGGAACACACGGCACAGGGCGTCCCAGAGAATCCCACTTCTCCGAGGTGACTGATTTCATACACACCTATACAATGTCTATACCTACACACACACATTTAAATTTTCTTTCTGTTCTCTAGAGTGTCTGTATTTTTCTTAGTTCCTTTTATTTCTTTGCTGTACCAGCCTGTTTTGGCCTCTGTTTTTCACTTTAGAAATTGTCCTCAATTTTTGGTGATCTTTGGTGTTCTTTCCTGTTTAAAGTGTGGCCCTCTAAAACAGGCAGGCTTGGGGACAGGTGGAGTCATCACAGGGTATCACTAAGGCTCCTGGACTCTCTCATACCGGTATCTGACTGGACACCCTTCTTGGACCCTTTTGCCCAGAGCTGTGCCCCCTGGTTTACCGCCTGGCGGCAGACGTCGGGCTGCCAGGGTGTTCAGAAGGGTGCCTAGATGTTCACAATACTGATTCCTGTACAACCCCGTTTTTTTTTTTTTTTTTTTGTGGTATGTGGGCCTCTCACTGTTGTGGCCTCTCCCGTTGCAGAGCACAGGCTCCGGACGTGCAGGCTCAGCGGCCATGGCTCACGGGCCTAGCCGCTCCGCGGCATGTGGGATCTTCCCAGACCGGGGCACGAACCCGTGTCCCCTGCATCGGCAGGCGGACCCTCAACCACTTGCGCCACCAGGGAAGCCCTACAACCCCGTTTTTATTTTAACCCTGAGCTATACCTGGGTCCCCTCTCTCATTCCATCTCTCCAGGGAGCAAACCAGGGGTGGACATGGAATAAATTCAAAGGCTGAAGCCCTAATACCAGTGTGATGGTATTTGGGGTGAGGCTTCAGGAAGTGACGAGGTTGTGGGGGTGGAGCCCTCATGAATGGGATTAGCGCCTTTATAAGAAGAGGCCAGTGAGCTAGTTCTTTCTGCCGTTTGAGCCTACAGTGAGAGGATGGCCGTGTGCAACCTGGCAGAGGGCTCTTACTAGAACTGGACCACACCAGCACCCTGACCTCCAACTTCCAGCTTCCAGAACGATCAGAAATAAATTTCAGTCCTTGATAAGCCGCCCAGTTTGTGGTGTTCTGTAACAGAACCCAAGCTAAGACAACAGCCGTGTGAGTTATGACCTGAAGTTCACAAGCAGCTCTCTAGAGTTTATCCCATAAATCTCTTCGCATCTATAATGGCGCTGAATACACTGGGTAGTTTTGTTTTTTCCCGACTAGAGAGGGCTTGCGACTATTGCTGTTTTCTCTACCAAGTCACCAGCCTCTATTCGGGCTCTATGGCCAGTGAAGCCGCCTCCGCTACAGAGTCGAGGCCACACGGGGCTCATGAGGGCTACTTGTCTTGCTTCACATCCTGCCAATACTTTTGAATCAAAAAATGCTGTCGATAAAGTACTTGTTGCTTATTTAATAAATACTTGTAGAGCTCTTACCCGGTGGCACACACTGTTCTAAAGGCTTCAAAAATACTTACTAGAAAATATGAAAATTATAGTGTCATAAAGGTTGTTACTTTTCCCCAAAAAAGTTGGAGTCAGAGAGGCTGGTTAGTGTACGACATCCTGTGACGAAGATGCAGCTACTCTTCGAGGGTCTGAGGCTACTCAGCCCCAGAACCCCACAACCTCAGATAGAGTCTTTTACAATTAACCACCCAATTCATGCATCCATTCCAGGCAACCGGGACTAGAGCAGCGGACAGACAAAAATCTCTCCCTACCTTCATGGAACTTCTAACCTAGACAGCAATCATATAACTTATCAAAGTGATAATATTTTAGATGGTGCAAACACTCTGAAGAAGGGTAAAGCAAGAAAGTGAGATGGGAAGTGAGGAACGGCAGGGGGTAGTTTACAATTTAAAACACATGTTAGTTAGGGAAAGCCTCACTGAGAGGGTGATATATGAGCAGAGACCTGCAGGAGACGAGGGAGCCATGGTGAACTCTAGGGAAAGAGCTCTCCAGACAGAAGGAGAGCCAGTGCAAAGGCCCCGAGGCAGAGGCATGCACAGTGTGTTCAAGGCACAGGGAGGATCTGTGAGAAGCATCTCCCTTGGACAAGATGAGAGAGAACGAGGGGCCAGATCCTTCATGGTGTTTGTAAGCAGCTGTAAGGAACGTGCGTTTTAATATGAGTGAAATGGAGAGTCAAGGAGGTGTTTTCAGTACAGGAGTGACATGGTTTCACGTGAGTATTCATACGATCACTCTAGCTCTTGTTTCGGGCAAGAATCAGGCAAAGAAGCCAGTTGGGAATCTACCGCAAATAATCCAGACGGTGACAGAAAAGGTGGTGAGAAGTGGTCAGATTCTGAGAAAAATTTCAAAGTAGAACCAACTGGAAATGCTGCAAGATAAAAAGATGAACCAAGGATGACTGCAAGATTTTTGTCCTAAGCAACTAGAAGAGTGGGGTTGTCATTAACTTACATCAAAAAAAACTACACGTGGAACAGATTTTGGGGAAAGATCAAGAGATTGGTTTTGGACACATGAAGTTTGGAGATGCCTAATGGACACCTCGTGTTGAGGTGAACATTTGAATATGTTCAAATGTTCTGGAGTCCAGAGGAGAGGTCTAGGTTAGAAGTATAAATTCAAGTGTCACTAGTATATAAACGGCAGGTAGAACTATGCTACTGGAGGAGATCTCAAGGCACTGAGTGTGTATCCAAAACAGAAGTCTAAGAATCCTGAGCCCTGCGCCTGCAGATGTCAGGAGGCTGGAGATAGGGAGGAAAGTAAATGGAAGTAATGGCCAGAGAGAGAAGGAATCAGGAGCGTATGGGATCCTGAAGCCAAGGGAAGAGAGTGTTTCCAGGACTAGGCAACTGTGTCGGGCTCTACGGGGAGTCATGTGACATGAGCGTGTGGAGGACAGTGGTGGCCTGGACATGAGTGATTCTGGTAGAGCACCAAGGAGGAAAGCTGGACCGGAGGGAGCTCAGGGTAGGAGGGGGAACTGGAGAAGACGAGACAAGTTGTCCACAGTTTTGTTACCAAAACAAAAGGAGAGAAATGGGCTGGAAGTTGCCATTTTTGGAAGTGAGTAAAGAAAGGGCTGATGATTGATTTCTTTTTTACAAGACGAGAGAGCAGCATGTGTGTAAGATGATGGGAAAGGTCTGGCCGTAGAGAAGGAAAAGACAAATGATGCCAGAGACCTACTGGTGGCATGTCCTGGAGTGAAGGAGAAGGGGTGAGTTCTAGGGCACAAGGGGACAGGGTGGCCTTTGCTGGGAGTGCAGGTCAATTATCCCTGGTACAGTGGTGGGAACTTCTCCGTGGAGCAGGAGGAAAGATTCCTCAGCGAAGCATGAGGATGGCAGAAGAGACTGTTGGGAGATTTGAGGTGTGAGGAAAGGGTATGAATAGCCATGTCAGAAGTGGGAAAGGGAAGAGGCTGAGGAATCCGGTATGAGCCCCAGGGCTCCAGGAGGTATTAGGGCCCACCCGACATTACCAGTGTGAGTTTAAAGTGCGGCCAATGGGTGAGATATGAACACCTCTAGAAGCTGCCAATAGCAACATGGAGCAGAATCAACACTTTGGAGAATAATGGGAATAACTGAAGAAATACAATGAACTTACCAACCTTCAAGGTTTTTACTATTTATTTGATTCTAAATCACAGTTGTCTGGATTTCTGAACTCTTCTTAGATGAATCTGAAAAGCTCCAGTTTAGCATGGCTGAAAACTGATAGCTCATTTCTCATGCAAAGTGTCTCTACAACAGCTTTGAATAATTTTATTCTCAGGATGGTTCTCACCGTCCGTTTTATTTCCATACATAAACTTAGGTTAGGG